GCAAAAGTAGCTAAAGTTGGTAAGACTAATAAAGGTTGTTTTATGATTCTATTTTGTCTAGAAATGTACATCGATAATATCGTAGAAAATGCCCAGTCTGATCCACATCGCAGCATTAATTATTCAAGGTTATTGCAAAAACTGCAAGTAAGGGAATCCGGGAGAGATATTGAAGAGAAATTAAGAAATGGGATCCTGGAATGGCTAAAAAAGACTAGTTATCAATTACTGATCACAGGCCTACTCAATGCTTTGGGGGAGACAGGATTTTCATGTACCAAAGGTAATATTTCCATGATGGACACGCATTCTATTGCTGCTGATAAGATTGATAGATGAATCAAATGCTTTATAGGAAATATAGGATTTTTAGCTCTTCTGAGCCAAAGGATCAAAGTAATCAATTACTGATCACAGGCCTACCAAATTTATCAAAGGATATCCTTGCCCAAGGCTACCATTTGTACTACAATTTGGGACCCTAAAACAAGGGGAGATAATCAGGAAAACAAAACCAAAAGTACTGGCTGCTAAAAAATTTTCTTCTCCAGAACCACCAGGCAGATTTTCACCAAATTTACATACAAGGATCAGGATATGGAAGATAAAAAATTGTTCAAGGCATTCTTCAAAGTTGACCTAAATTTACAATTAATAAAAATGTTTATATTTTGTACTAGAAGGACCAGGATCATCAAAAGGACTTCACATCATGTTAACTGAAAAGTTACCTCTTTTTAAATTTTGCAGGCATTTGTTTTCAAATTGATTTGAAGGCATATTTTGGATACTTTAAGGCCTATGATGGAGCATTCAACTTATTGCTGCTGATAACACTGAGAGGGTTAGAATCATCAAATGTTAGTTGCTGCATCTTTATAGGCATTTGTTTTCAAAATAAAAGGCATATTTTGACATCACTTGGTCAGCAGATGCATCTTTATGTTGACCATAATGTAGGTCACATTGACGTACTTTCGACATTTTATGGCTATATTTATGTATCTTACGTATTTATTGGCTTAGAATCATCAAACTTTGTGAGTTGATGCATCTTGGGTTTTCGGAGATGACGAGCAAAAATTAGGTCACAGTGACCTACTTTTGACATTTTATGGCTTATTTAAGTATCTTAGGTATTTATGCTTAGAATCATCAGTTGATGCATTTTGGGTTTTCGGAGAGTGTTGACCAAAAAAGGTCACGGTGACCTAGACATTTTATGCTTATTTAAACTTAAGTTCATGTAAAAAGTATTATTGTTTTAATAACCTAGAATCTCAGACTTTGTTAGTTGATACCTCTTGGGTTTTTAAGAGAGAACTTAATTCACTCTGAAAAATCACATATTTATGTATTATACGTATTTATGTGGCTTAGAATAATCAAACTTTGTCAGTTGATGCATTTGGGTTTTCGGAGAACGGTCACGGTGACCTACATTGACATTTTAAAGCTATATTTAACACGGGCTTTAAGTTGATGCATTTGGGTTTTCTTAATGTGTGTCAAGGTGAATTTTGAATATCTCTAATTCATTGATTGTTTATTGTTTTAATAACCTTCCTGTTTTTTAATAGCTTTATTAAAATATTTTTAATTCACTCAAATGAAAATATAAAGGCTTCAAATACACCGTTCAAGGCCCTTGGGCCTCTTGTTCTGTACATCATATAGTCGTACATTATCTATCTGAACATTTATGCATGTTTCAGCAATTTAGTGCTTATATCATTCATAAAAAGATTTATCTCAAAGAGAGAACTTAATTGCTGATCACATGTTTTGTTGGAAATAAGACACATTATTTCCTATGTAGCTTGTAACACGGGCTTTAATTGGTTACAAAATTGGGTGTAAATTTTGTTATTGATTGTTTATTGTTTTAATAACCTTCTGAAGAATTTTTCACTCAAATGAAAATATCACCATTTGTCGGTTAAGGGCTGTAAATATTACAGTCCCAGAAATGTTCTACTTTCCATTTTTCCGTTCGCTCACCGTTTGTTCAGCGTTCGTTCACCGTTCGTTCAGCGTGCGTTCACCGTTCGCTCTTCATTCACAGTATCGCGTTCACCATTCACAAAACGTTCACCGTTCACTCTTCTTTACGTTTACTTTGCGTTTATAGTTCACTTATCGTTCAGTCTTCATTGTCATTCGGAACTCCGAAGTGGAAGGACATATCTTTTTGATGGTAAGGATTTTCATGTTTTTTAATTAAATAACTTAGAGACCGTGTTTGAAGAATAATTATTTCATTGCAAAAATTATCTATGATACTTATATTTCTATTATTATAAGTCAACTGTTACTTATTTCATTAAATTTCCCTGGAAAAAAATATATTAAGTACCTACATATATGTAGAACGATGCTAAAAAATTAACCTAAAAAAGGGCAATGTACAAATGCTTCACGCACGGCATCAATTTGTTGTAATTTTAAAGAGGACAAATTATTAATGGATGTATAATAATTAATTCAAGTCTTTTACAGTACAGGAATGCATAAAATAATTATTTCTACAGTAACAAGTATTTTAACTACATTTAGGTTTGAGAATTTTAAACAGTACTGCAAATATTCAGTTAATTAAATATCTTAGAGGTAATTAAATTGATGGTTTGGTTTTAAATTTTAGAAAAGGCCAACTGTTTAAAATAGTCTATTATTAGAGAAGGAAAATTCCATCCTTCACTGTACCTAAACATATATTTAAGTATATGTTTACCATTCAGTATAATTAAGACCAACCCCCCCCCCCCCTCGGTTCCTTTTCTTCCCCCCCCCCCAAAAAAAAAATCTTATTGAGTTTTTTCAGTATATTTTGATTAATATTTAATTTGTATTGTAACACAAGAAAATCAGTCTTAAAACCAACATCTAACAGTCATTTAACAAAAGTATTTTAGAATAAACTTGTGCCGACAGTAGTATATAATATTGGCAGGGAATATGTTTCAAATTCAATTTAAAACATAATCCTTCCAAGTATATATTCGAATTATTTATTTTTTCTGCAGGAATGCAGAAATCAGATCTAGAAATAATAGGGGAAAATATTAAAACTTCTTGGAATACTAAGTGACTATTTGCCTTCGGCGTGTTCGGTGAAACGCGATTTCCACACCTCCACAGTGTCGAATTATTTTGATTGACAGGACAAGCACGCTACTAGCACGGACTTCCTTTGAACTGTGTGAACTAGATGATTGAAAATAAAAGCCAATGATCATTGTCAAATGGATTTGCTAATCTATGACAAAAGATTATCTTTACTGCTTGGAATATTTAGGAAAAATAATAAGAATTTTTATTTGATACAACAGATCTCTGAGAAGCGAGGGGGTTATCTCTCTCTCTCTCTCTCTCTCTCTCTCTCTCTCTCTCTCTCTCTCTCTCGCGTACATTTCTCTGTTTAATAAAAACTATGACATCACATTACTTATTTATTTTTGAAAATTTAATCTATTACAAATGATTTGAATGTCTCCTTCCAACATCTTGACCGAGAATACCCCGGTAATCATGGCCGGGAAATGTCTACAGATGCATGAAGAAGTTAGCTAAAATAATCGTCATAAAAGAATACAAAAGGCATATCATTTAATATAGAATATTTTGCATTAGAATTAAAAAAAAACGAGTTTTTATGCAATACGATAACAGTCAATGTCAACAGATAATTGTGAATTTAAAAAATCCGTTATTTTACTCAGAATCGCTTTGGCACGGAAATACATGTATGGTTGTTTCAACCGCTTAGAATTCATTCTATAAGTAGTAGTTTTACCTTCAGAATAAGCATATACACTATATAAATAGATTAATTTCATATTTAATCTACACGCGTTCGGAAACAAATACACATGCTTTACGGCAAATAAAATCGTGTTATAAAAAAATCGACTTAAAACATAGGTACATGTACAGAACAATAATTTTATTTATTTATTTATTTATCTATTGTTTTTTTTTTTATATTTAAGCACCTGAAATTAGAATTTTAGAATAATAGAATAATTTCAATGCAAGGAAAAGATCGGAGGCATTCCGAATAAATCGTTCATCTTGCGTTCACCATTCGTTCACAGTTCACTTTGCGCTCGCGTTCGCGTTCTACGTTCACTCACCGTTCACACATCGTTCACCAAGTTGCGTTCAGCGTTCGCATATCGTTCACCCACCGTTCGCTCTGCGTTCGTTCACCGTTCGTTCAGCGTTCATTCACCGTTCAGGTGGGAAAGTAGAACGTTTCAGGGACTGTAATCTATAATTGCCACTTACGGCCATTGAGAATTGTGGGATCTTTTTCGTGCCAGCATCTACAAAATTGAATGCACACTATGTATTGAATCTTTCACATAAGTATAATATTTTCTGACCCTGTAGTTTTTGCGTAGAAGATTTTGAAAGAATTGGCTGTTTGTTATCTCCATATATTTCAATAAAAGAAAATTGATTACCTTCTGTAACACATGATCTGATTAGAACTGAATATACACTTTACAGTGAATCTTTCACATAATTTTCAACGATTCTGAAAATTTTAAAAGATGTCTTCAAGTTTTTTTCCTAATTCTTAACTACTTTCCTTGAAAGAGGACATGGCCATTAATTTGAACAAACTTTTCTACCCATCTTCCCAAGTCAAGAGTTCTGATCCGCTCCGCTCCATATAAGCCCTTGACTGAATAACAAAGTTTTTGGAGATTGTCGACCTGAAAGTAGGTCACAGTGACCTACTTTCGACATTGATGGCTATATTCAAGTATCTCAGGCACTTAATGGCTTAAAATAATTAAACTTTGTCAGTCGAGGCATCAGATTTTTGGAGAATGTCGATCAAAAAGTAGATCGTGGTGACCTACTCTTGATTATCTCAGGTACTTATTAGCTTAGATTCATCCAAATTTGTCAATTTAACATCTTGGGTTTTCTGAGAACATCAACCAAAAACTACTTTTGACATTTATTCAGAATCATCAAACTCTGTCAATTAATGTTTCTTGAGTCAGCAGAAAATTTCAATCAAAATGTGGGTCACTGTGACCTACTTATGGTATTTTATAATTATATTATAATATCTTCAATCTTAACTGGCTAAATATTATAAAACTTTGTCAGTTGATGCATTTTGCATACTGCATACTGTATTTTTTTAGGTTTAATTTACTTAGGGTGTGATATTGATCCGCATCACCCCTGCAGGGCTGAAATGACTATTGTGACCACAGGCATATCACATACTAAGTATGCAAAAATTCTGTATTTATTACGATTTACAAAGTATGTAATAAAGAGCAATAAATAGTTCCCTTATGTGTTTAAATATACTGGACTATCAAATAGTCAAACGAATTTTACATAAGAATATAAGAACATTATCAAATCTGTGACTCAAAATCAGCAAAGCAATGATTAGTGATACCGGTATTGATATGGAAGCATCGTCTTACGACATGTACCGATGAACGACAACCACAGTGAACTTAGGTAGACTATAGTGAAAATCTACCCAAAATGAATGAATAATTTACCCTAGTAAACTCTGTTTCTATAAAAATACTAGTGTTATATGTTTTTTCAGGGTAACTTGTAAAACTGTTATCCCGCAAAAACAGTGGCTTGCTGAGATGAAGTCAAGGTCGACAAAGGTGTTCAAGGGATAACAATATCTCATACTTATATTACCGTAAAAATATGTTATATCTTTTGTTAGTATACTGAATGTATTTAGAATGTATTTAAATGAAAAAAATCAAAATGAGCCTAATGCGCAGACATCGTTTTTATACTGTAATACTTTGTCCTGCAAAGTCAACTGTTGCTATGTAATGTTACTCGGAAGGCGTGGTTTACAAATTGTTTAAATTGTTTTAACATGAAAATATACCAAATATACTTTTTTTCATTTTCATGTGTAAAGAGGGTTGTAATTTCCAGAAACATTTTCCATGGACACAGCGGAATTTTCTTGAATAATATACTTCTTTTCACGTAGATAAACCACATTACTTACTATTACATCTCCTAATCATTGTTATTTTTTTGTAGAGAAAATTGTGAAATTTGTCGAGGACAACCCTATTTATGTATATTTTGGTCGCACAAGAGAACACGTTAACTATGAACCCTATCGTTTGAGATATGACATTCCATTCTACAGCAAACAGGAAGAAGATGACGTTGCTTTATTAGAAGTTAACTGCACAGATTTACCAAAGCCATTTATTTTGGACATATCTCGCAAGCGACCAGAAAATGTTACCATTATTGGTCACCCAGCCTCCCATGGCAATGAACAGATAATTGACAGAAAATGCCCTTTGATTTCGGAATATGACGCTTTTCAAATCTACTGTGAAGCACTTTCGTGGTGGCAGAGTAAATTGGAGAATGATAAAATTAAAAAAGCTTATGATTTCGACAAGAGGCTAAAGGTAAAGGTACTGTTCCACTGCTCAGAATCCACAACTCATGGTGCCTCGGGTGGCCCTGGAATCAATGATTTAGACGTAGGCTCACCAAAAGTGTATTTAATGCTCCAAGAGGGAATCCCGGGTTTTGTGCATGATAAATCGATAAAAGAAATATTGAGGACGTGCCCTAAAGAATGCCTTGTTGAGAGTGGGATCAGCATGTCCAGGGTCTATGAACTTTTAAGCAGTATACAACAATTGAAAGTATTGCGAGATAACATTTTTCACACATAAATATGTCTGTGTTTATGGTTTTATCTCATCTATTGATGAATGATAAAAATGTATCGTTATCAGAATCAGGAAACAAGAATGGATGATTTGTGAATATGTAATTCTAAATTGGAGAAAGAGTGGCGTTCGACCAAATAAAATAATAACTTATCGGTGGTTATCGGGACAAAGCTGCGTTTCACTTAAAAAATTGCACGGCTAACTGAAATAAATGTTAAAGACACTTGAAATAATTGAAACAAGTTGTAGAATTGTACAAAAATGACTCAAATCAATTAATGCCCTCTTCACACGGAGAGTTAAATTCGCAGTATATGAATGCGAAGTAAACTAATTCAAATTAAATTGCGTTCACACGACAGCTAATGTGAAGTAAACTTATGAGAATGAAGTTTTATTTCTACAAAAAAGCCCGCTGTTTTTAGTAAGGCTATTATGATATCATTTGTAAATCACGTCGTGTATGCAGAGCTATCAAATAGATATCATAATCATAGAGGCTACTATTAGTAATGTGTGTCTACATAATGAATTTATCCTGTCGAACATATTTTGATAAAGCTTATTTAACTTAGCAAATCGTTTACATTTTGACATTGATTAATGGTAATATGACGTCAGTAATTAGGTGCTTTGTGTGTTCAAATGAAAACAACAATGGTCTGTGTAGTATGGCATTTGGAGGGGGCATATTGATTTGAGGTGTGGTTGGTAGGTCATTTGGAGGGGGCTAATTAGCAGTATGAGGTAGGTGGACATCATAACATCGTTTCATGCAGTATTCTTCTCAACAAGTGAAATGTCACGATTTTTATCAGAGGCAGGATAAAGGTATCCATTTAGTGATAAACATACCTTTCCTTTATTTTTGAACCATATACAGCACTGTTACCTATATCTAACCACCAACATGTGCCCTTTGACTTCATTCTGGCCTTACGCAAATTTAATTTGAATTAGCTTCGCTCAGCGTTCACATGGAGCTAATGAGCAGTACTTTAATGTGCAGTTAATTAATTCAATTGTACTAATTCGCATTAAGTTCTCCGTGTGAGCAGGGCAATAAGTTTCTAAAAAATATTTGTAAACGGAACACGTAAGGAATTTCTGTTAATGATGTCAAATAAAATTAAATAATTCAATGCCCTTTTCACAAGGAGCGTTTAATTCACAGTTATAAATGTAAAGTGAAGTAATGCGCACCAAACTATTAATTAGATTGGGACAGCTAATGCGAAGTAAACTAATGCGAATTAAAATTTTATTTCTACAGTCAGTCTCGGTAAGGCTAATTTGACGTCATTTGTAAATCACCTCACCTTTTGCAGAAGATGATCCATTAGACATAATGGCAAAGTGTACGTACACAATTTTAGTGATTAACACGATTTTTCTTTGTTTTTCAATCAAAAAATAGCACAAGTACTTACATTGTATAGCTGAAAACCGACATGTGGCATTTGACTTTATTTTGTCATTACGCATGCCCCCAAATTTAATACGTATTAGCTTTGGTAACACGAAGTAATTTAATGCGCAGTAAATCAATTCGAATCAAATTAATTGGCATTGCATTCTGAACTTGAACGAATTAAACTCTGCATGTGAACAGGACAATCATTTACATTAAAACACGTGATGGCATGTTTACATTCACCATGTTCTTGTTATTAGATAAGTTTTATTTTTATGTAATTTATGCATTCAAGAAACATGGACTTGAATTTAAAATATCGATTTACCACAAAACAATAATATGTTGTTCATAATGAAAACTTGCTTATATGTAAGTATGGAACATACAATTATGGCCATTTTTTATATAGTAATTCCCCCCTTCAAAGAAAAGAGGGCATTTTGCTTAGCTGCTGTCTGTCGGCTTATCGGTCGGTCCATTTAGTTTCCGTTTATTTTCTTCACAATCGTTGCACCTACTGAAATGAAATTTGGTATACAGGTATAATATCAGATGAATATCTAGATTAAGTTCTGTTTTGGATACGATTGCACCATTTTTGACAGAGTTATGTCCCTTGAACTTAGAAAAATTCCAATTATTTTCAGTTTCCATACATTTTCTCAGTAAAGGCTGCACATATTGAAATGGAATTAAGTATACAGGAATTTCAGATGAATATCTAGGCCAAGTTCTGTTTTTGGTACGAATGCACAATAATTGACAGAGTTATGCCCCTTGGACTTGCATTTTCCATTTTCTTTGGAGAGGTTGCAAAAATTGACATGGAATTTAGTATGCAGATTAGTCAGATGAATATTTAGGGTAAGTTTTGTTTTGGGTAAGATCACACCATAATTGACAGAGTTATGTCCTTTGGACTTGCATTTCCATTTTCTTTGGATAGATTGCACACATTGACATGGACTTTAGTTTGCAGATTAGTCAGATAAATATCTACGCCAAGTTCTGTTTTGGGTACGATCGCACCATAAATGACAGAGTTATGTCCCTTGGACTTAGAAATGTTCCAATTAATTGCAGTTTCCGTTCATTTTCTTCACAAGCATTGCACAAACTGCAATGAAATTTGGATTACAGGTATATTAGATGAATATATAGGTCAAGTTGAACTTGGAATATTTCCTATTAATCGCAGTTTCCGTTCCTTTTCTTTAGAGAGGTTGCACATATTGAAATGGAATTTAGTATACAGGTATATCAGATGAATATCTAGGCCAAGTTCTATTTTGAATACGATCGCACCATATTTGACAGAGTTATGCCCCTTGAACTTAGAAAAATTCAAATTATTTGCAGTTTACGTTCATTTTCTTCGGAGAGGTTGCACATATTGAAATTGAATTTAGTACACAAATTATGATGAATACGTGTAACTTGGTCAAGTTATGCTTTGGGTATGATCGCATCAGTTTTGACAGAGTTCAGCGCTTTTCTACTTTGAAAAATTCGATTTGTGGGGGAAGGGGGGATTAGTGTTTTCGAAAAATCTCTTGTTATTTATAATTTAAATAAAACAACCATTATGTATTTAATTTCACTTATGTGTTGAATGCTGTTTATTTTCTTTTGTCGTCTAAATGTAAGTAAGTAGATGTTCCATTTTATTGTTCAAACTCAATGTTGAATGGCACAATGAGCCTATGTTCGTCAATCACATTTGGTAGCATAATTATTTTTGTAGTGCCATATTTTTACTGTATACCTACTGTTTATATATATTTTGCAAATATTTTTTTATCTGTAAATTTAGGGGATAGGTATATTGATATGTATTTGTGCGATTACCTTTTGATCTGATCCCCTTTTATATGATGTATATATTTTTTCTTATTTCGTCATTTTAACAAATGATATATTTCATCTCAACAATGGTGCTGATTTAATTTGATTATATCTTAGCAAAAACAGAAGTGCAGTGAGGTTGTGCAGCATGAGGAAATATAAATCTTTATTTTTTTCTTCGTATTAAAGTGAGTTAAGCTATTGTCAGTGAGTTTACATAAATTTACATACTCACGTTTTCATAGTTTTTATCTTTCGTCGTCGCTCGTTGTGCGTCGTGTGTTAACATTTAAACATTTTCAGCTTCTTTTCTAAAAGCACTGAACCAATTTCAACAAATTTTAGCATATAGCATCAATTTTTGGTAAAGGGGAATTATAATTAATTTTATGACACACCCCCCTGGACCTATAGGTGGGGGTGAAAATCACTTACAGTCATGATATCTTTCAAAAGAAATTCTTTATTCTTAGACATAGAGCAGCCAAACTGTTGGCATCATTGTAATCAGCATTAAGCCCTCTGGTGTTAGGGCGAGGCTCTAATGATTATATTTTGAAAATGCATAAATATTTTGAAAATTTTCTACTCTGCTCCTGGGTATTAAACCAATAAACTATGTACATAATCTTGATGAAAAAGGTTGTCTTTTCCAAAATTGTGATGTTCATGGCACCTGTTTCAGGTGTTCTGGTGTTAGGGCGTGGCTTTATAAATTATGTAGTTAAAATGCATTAATTATTTGAAAATCTTCTCCTCCGCTTCTGGGTATTAAATCAATAAACCCTGTGCATTGGTATGACGAAGAAGGGTTCCTCTTCCAATATCGTCAATTTTTAAGGTCCCTGGGTCAGGGGTTTTGGTGATATGGCTGGGCTCTACTTAGTATTTAGTAAAAATGCATTATTTCTTTGACAAAAATTATCTTTTTTGTTACTGGTGTGTTATCCTGATTATCTAGTCTCATACATATATAGTTATGATGAGCAAACTTGAATAAGGGTGCTTCTTCTAGAAATGTGAATTTCAAGTCCTTTGGGCATGAGTACGGAGGGTCTTATGATAATATATTGAAAATGAATAAATAGCTTGAAATATGTGTTTTGTTAGTATTAATCGAACATTTATGATGAACAAGGGTGCCTTTTCCAAAAATTGTTAACTGTGTGGCGGCCACAGGGTCAGGGATATCTGTGGTGTAGGGCACATACTGAATAAATTAAAGTGGAAATGCTAATTTCCTTTGTTCCTCTGCTCTGTCCTTGGATATTATTTAATCATCATATGGGATTTGTTATTGTATTAGTGTGCGAATATTTACTTATAAATACCTTAAGGCATATATCAGGTGTTCTGGAAGTCGATATTACTATTTTGGTTTTTAAAAGTCATGGATTTGAAAGGTAGAATAATTTTTTTTTTGGGGGGGGGTGACTGGGTTAGATTTTTTCCCGCTTAAGTCTGGTCATTCTTTATTCAATAGTTGATCAGACTAGAGATTTCCTTCTCTGATAATTATGTCACTACATGTAATATTATTTCATATTTAAATTGGTTATCCTATAGTATGCAAAAAGTGTCACTTACTGTGGTAAATGAATGAACTAGAGCGAAAGCGAAAGTTTTTTAACATGTGTAATAATTATTAAATACAAGATCTGAATGAAATATTTCACAGAAGTGATATGATGTTAATCAAGTTATATGATGTTATGATGAACAAAGATATACAGTATTTGACGATATTGTTTAAGGTGAGCAATTGATTTATTTTCATAGAGGTAATTTTTTCAAATATAATTTATTAGATTACAGATCACCATCCATATAAAACACTTATATCATACAATTCGAGGGAAATTCTTTTCCAAGATAATTTTTAAATAAAATTATTCATATTTTTTTTATATTTTCAAATTAAGCAATCAAATATAAATTTTTAAACTTCAATATTGTTGTTTATATATTTTGATTCTCAGTAGAATTTTCTGATGAGTTAAAGATTTATATATATATTTCTTTTCATAACCATTGATTCAATGTGATAAAATATAACGATGATGCTCTAATAATTATATTTCAACCAAATTAATGAACATAAAATTTGATATATTTGCATTCTTGTTATTGTTGCAGTCCTGTTTACTCTGACGATATTGCCAAATTTTTTACGGATTTTGAGTCCAAATTATAAAATGTTTCGGAAAAAGACATCAATTTGGTTTTCGCAATTCTTGATTAAGTCATCATTTTGACTTACTCAAACCTCATATAGTGTCAATTCTCAAGGACGTTCTTTACCAATTAAAAAGGATTTTTTAGCATAAAGTGTCATATTGAGCTAGCTGTCTGAAGCTTGTGTTTAACGTTTGTTAATCGCGAAAATTTGAAAGATTTCAAACACTTAAGTGTGACGTAGGGGTTTCCAAAGGTTGGAGTTCTTATTAAAATTTTTGAAAATGTAGTTGCTGAGGAAAAAAATATATTCCAATTATTATGTAATATATGTACCTGGTATCGATGGAAAGTAAAATCTTACTTCACGCATTTCTAATGCGATCAGTTGCAATATAACCAACGTATTGTGTATTGATTTTTAAATCAAAAGAGACTATTTCTGGTTATGCATTTGATACAAACTTTTTCAACACACACATGGTAAGTTGAACCGATAGAGGCAATGATTAAAATTTTAATGTGATTCCAAGAGCAATTTATTTTTTAAATTTTATAGTCTAATGACATTACTATTTAATACTACTAGATTTTCACCAAACTTACATACAAAATGCAAGGATTGTCGTTTAGCGACGATTTTTGTTTTGACTTTTCAAGTGCCGGTAGAGCGAAAACGCTGATTGAAAACATGTTTGCCGACTGAAATTTGTTTTACTCTCAACTAACCTTAAGTATTCTGAGATCCACATTAGTCTGCATCATTTACATCTTATCCACACAAATTTGGACTTGAAAATGTGTTTGGTTAATGATGCATGGATAAAACCAAAACAGATTATGGTTTTAAATATTCTCTCCAACAATTACACTGACCCTGATTACAAATAATGAGATAAATTCTTTTACGCTTCTTCATAATTTGAATATCTTATTATATATGTTATACACTATTACAGATGTCTAATTTAGGCAGAAAAGAATTTAAGTGCACAAAGTGGAAATGCTTCACTGAAGGTGAAATACTTTTAGCCCATGAAATGAGAGATCATGGAAATGAAGAAAAGCAATTTAAATGCACATATTTGAAAATTCTTTTAATGTCAAATCAAATACAAAGAGACATGACCGTGCAGTTCATATGCAAATCAAGTCATTTCAATGTGTGATATGAATATCAAAGAGTTACATCTTTTTTTGGAGCCACGACAAAAAGTTTCTTTAGGAGAGACACTTCAAAGGTCAATATATTTGGGCGTTCAAAGTTTGCTTAGAATGCGCATCATATATGTTCACAATTTGCATATTCATGCAATTTAAGTGATCACAAAAAGAGATGCAGTGTTACAACGCGAAATGTAATAACAACGCGAAATGTAGTAAACCTGGATTATTACACATTGCGTTATTACATTTTGCTGACAAAGAGTTGGTAACGCAAAATGTAATAACACGATTTTTAGATTATTACATTTTGCGTATATTTTTACATTTTGAAAGAGATCAACGCAAAATATAATAATGAGCTTTTTCGTTGTAACATTTTGCGATATTTTATTTTTGCACTGAAGACAACGCAAAATGTAATAAAACAAAATGTAGTTATTTTTTTTGATTGCGTTTGACAAAAAAGATCATAAAATTAATTCAAAATATACGTATAACCAACATGGGAGACACGCTGTACAAAATATTTAGAACTTAAACAACGTTAGGGCTTTTACGGACATAAATACATCAAAATGTATCGTTTTTTTCACTCTGACTTTAGTTATATGAATTTTCTGTGCTAAATTGATTAAAGCATTAAAATTTAACTGATGATTGGCATATTTTTAATAGTCTAATGAAAAAACTATATGCGGTATATTGTTATATGTTGCAGTCCTGTTTACTCAGACGATATTGCCAATTTTTTTTTACGGATTTTGAGTCCAAATTACGGAAATCGGAAACCTGTTCGTTTGGTTTTCGCAATAAATTGTATGAGAAATATAAACGCAGAAAATATATAGTGTCAAAGCAGACTTCTTTATTCACTAAAATTTTTGCATTTCATATTGAGCTAGCTGTCTGAAGATTGTGTATAACTTTGTTAAGAAAAGAAAGATTTCAAACACTTAATTGACGTAATTTCAAAACAATTTTATTAAACCATGTTTTGAAAATTTAGTTGTTCTAGTAATATATGTAAAATCGATGGAAAGTGAAATCTTTGTTCACGCCTGCTAAACAGTTGCACAACCATATGTGTATAGAAATCAAAAGAGATCGATTTCTGGTTACATTTATACAAACTTTTTCAACACACACATGGTAAGTTGAACCAAAAGAGGCAATGATTAAAATTACAATTGATTCCTGTAAATTTATTTTTCTTTTATTTTAGTCTAAAAAATGCAAATTGTCGTTTAGCGATGATTTTTGTTTGACGTCAAGCAATGGCGTCAAAACTTATGAAAACATGTTTGCCACTGAAATTGAAGTTTTACATCTCATACTAACCTTAAGTATTAAGAACTTCCACATTAGTCTGCAATATATCTTATCCACACAAATTTGGACTTGAAAATGTGTTTGGCAAATATTGGTTAAAACCAAAACAGATTATGGTTTTAAATATTCTCTCCAACAATTAACACAAAATTTAATTAAATTCTTTTAAGATTCCATAATTTGAAAATCATTATTAGCTCTTGATATGCATATTTGGCATGTGTAGGCATTGAAAAGTTAACAAAAGAAATGTGTATGTGTGTGTCTTTTAGCCCATGAAAGGAGATCATGGAAATGAAGAAAAACAATTTAAATGCACATATTGTTCTTTTAATGTCAAATGAAATACAAAGAGACATTCATGCAAACAAGTCATTTTATGTGTGATATGTCCAGGTACATTCGCCACGAAAGTTTCTTTGAAGAGACATCAAAGGTCAATGCTGGGCGTTCAAATTTGCATGGAACAGTATTGTATCACAATTGTCAATAAACCCCTTCCGTTATATATTTACACCTGCCAATAGAAATAAATAGGTTTTCTTTTAGATTCATTGCATTTGTTTACATAAAAAAAAACAAAAGTACACTGGTCAATATCCCCAACAATCCCATCTACACACGCGTGTTTCTAATTTACACCTATTATTTGAATACATTTATTAATCTGATTTTAAATACATGTACATGTTGCTTATTAAATCCATTAAATAATAAATTCATTAATTGTAAGAAATTGCATATATCATTTTTTTTTCTTTTGTTTTATTTCCTCTTCATCGGCCACTACTCTATTAAAAATTGTACTCAATCTGGCTGACCAAAGAGTGTGTTATTACATTTTGCGTTGATTTTTTTATCTCGACGCAAAATGTAACAACGCAAAATGTAATAATGCAAAAATCATGTTATTACATTTTGCGTTATTACATATTGCGTTGATCTCGCCGCAAATTGTAATAACGCAAAATGTAATATTCCTCAAATGTGTGTTGTTACATTTTGCGACTACATTCTGCGTTGATTTCGACGCTAAATGTAATAACGCAAAATGTAATAATCCATGTTTATTACATTTCGCGTTGTTATTACATTTCGCGTTGTAACAATGCAGCCTAACCAAATCTGCAGAGCCACCACAGAACAAATGAGATATATGTCAGAACACATTTACTACACTCAGGGCGTCACTCCAGGTATAGTCACGGAGACAGCAGCTTCAAGTGCGAAAAATGTGGGAAGTCCTACCAATACCCATCATCTTTGAAGATTCACAAAGACAAATATCACAGTGACTAACTGTTTAGAACAAAACAAACTCATGCATTCAATTTCATTTAATATTTCATTAAAAATGTTCATTTATTTTTTTGATATGTTTAACCCTACTGTCTAGATCGACTTTTTTGTAGATGAAGAAAACAATTTTAAGTTTTAACTAAAATGCACAATATTCATTAAAGATTGGTTCTGCTGTATTAAACTTCATCTAAATTCAGCCCAAGTCTTTTTGAAGGTAGTATTTTTGCCTCATTAATGCGGGACCCATATTGCTGACGTATCGGTTGGTCCCCACGAGCCGGCGCATTGATTTCCGAAAATTGGAATGGTTTGTCCTGATGCTGACATCTAGCAAAGTCGGCTTTATCAAAGAAATGATCCCTGCAAAAAAGAATAATAACTTAAGCTTGATTGCGATGTTAATAATTTTCTCCCTTTCTCTTTCCTTT